GCCGCGGGATGCGGCCTCGAGCCTGGAGCAGCCTGCGCCGCTTTCCCTATGCGATTCCCGGCAGTTTTCCCCCTTTCCGAGCGAGGAAACGCCGGCAGCATCGCGGGTTTTGCCGGTGTGGGGATCGTGCACCAAGGCTGCGTTGGGGCTGCACGGTCCCACTGCCACCTCCTGGCTTGTCACCGCCTGGTCACCGGGGCCACTCGGGAAGCGCAATCATCCGCAGCCATCTCTGAATCTGCTTTTTTATTTAAATCACACTCACATAGAGCATGTCTTTGCCTTATTACTACCCCAAATTTATAGAAATGCGAGTGATTAAATGAATAATATGAGGATAACCCAAGCAGCACTTTCTTTCCTAGGGAAAATACATCAGGAAAGGTGATGCCAAAGAGCCCCGGTCCTCAGCTCTCCAGGCACCACGGGGACACAAGGAAACTTCCCAACGTGGTTGAGGTTTGTGGGACGGGAATTGCTGGAAGGCCGATGGGTGCCAAGAGCTGCAGTTCTGGTGCCTGCAGCTTCCAGCAGGAAGCCGGGAAGGTCCCTGCTGCTTCCAGTGGGATCAATTGTCCATGTAACACGGCAGGCAATGTCCTCAGCACAGCTCTGCGTGCAGCCGCCTTGTGCCACCCCCGGAGCAAAGTCCCCTCGTGCCACCCCGGGGCCACCCGGTGCCAGCAGGGTGCAAATCCCGCCTGTGCTACCCGGCCTCCCTTGCACCCACACGCAACCGGGCTTGCAAACCCACCCCTGCGGCTGCAGGTGCAGCAGGGCATGCAACCCTCCCGGGTTAAGACCTTGCCTGCAGCCCCCGAGCAACAAGGCATGCAAAACTGCGCGTGCAAAACACCCCGAGCAAGCAGGCGTGCAAGACCCTGCGTGCAATCCCCTGTGTAAGGGGCGAGCAAAGCCCTCCCTGGAGGCCTCCTGTGCAGCTGGGCGTGCAGAGCGGTGCTCGGGTCCCCGTAGGCCAGGCCCAAAGCCTCCCTTGCAGCACCCCCCTGCAAAGGTGCTAAATCTCCTGCTGCAGCGCAGCCCGGGCGACTGCGCGTGCAGAGAACGGGTGTGCAAAACGAGCAAACAAACCGCGTGCAGAAAACAGGTGTGCAAAACGAACCAAAAAAACACGCGTGCAGAAAACGGGTGTGCAAAATGAAGAAACAAACCGTGTGCAGAGAACGGGCGTGCAAAATGAACAGAAAGAAACGCATGCAGAAAACGCGCGCGCAAAAGAAGCGAGCAAAGAAACCGCACGCAGAAAACGGGCGCTAAAAAACCGCGCGCGCCCGCGCAGACCCCTCTCCCGCGCAAGGAGGAGCAGGCCACGCCCCCCGCCCCAAGGCCACACCCCCAAGAAAAGAAACACGC